AATGTTCTAGGCTTCAGATGTCAATCAATCAACATGGAACTATTGTCGATATTAGAAATGATGTAAAGAATAACAGAGTAAGTTATCAAGGTTTTGCAAAATTATGCGAAGCTAATAGCCTATAGTGTCGGAAATGTCTCTAGCTTTTACGCGGAATGCCACGCTGACAAACAGAATTTTGATATGCACTGGGGGTTAGTGAGGACTGAACACAAAGCTTGAGCACTTTAAACTCATGGTAACTCACTCGATGCCTTCAGCTGAACCTTGCAAAGCACCGTCTGTACCCTTTTTGTGACTTTCTTCAGAATATACCGGCTGAAAGCCGGGATCAATGAATTGGTCCTGTATAAGCCGAGGACAAATACCGCAAGTGTTGTCCACGATAGCCATACCTGTCTAAATTCATGACTTACATGCTAATTCAAAAAACGCAACAAACAATAACTACAGCGATATTTTTGTCTATCAGAAAGTTGCATTCGAAATCGTCATCGTCTTCTCCAAGGGGATTCAATAGCGCTTCAGCAACCTAAAATTCAACAAGATTGCTGCGCGAATTCCAATAATGAATCATTCCGCTCACCTTCATCCATCCAACGAAAAAAATAAATTCTAACACCGTCATGAAAGGCACATATAGATCAATCTGAAACTATGCTACATCATGTATAAAATGATACTGTTAGGTCGTTCATGCGTAGAGTTCTCGTTCTCGTCCTCTTGTCGTTGAGGAGCGATTGACTTGCGACATGAAGCGTATGTATGTTATTTGAAAGAGCTGATAATGCTCTTTTATAATGGACTTGCCAATATAAACGGAAAGCTGACCTAGTTTGAATTCCAACTCTCAAAGAGGAAATTTTCAGAAGAAAAACGGAAGCATTCTCGATATATGTTCCTTTCTTAGTAGCGCTATGGGTTTGCAACCGATTATGGAAAATTGCATCCGCAAATCAATGCCAGAACTGAATTGCTCAAATCAAAACTTGAGGGATTCGCCCTGAACAAAGACTTTTAGTAAAACGGGCAGGACATTCCGTGCTGAGAATGGGTGACAAGAACAAAACGGAGGGCCATATTACTTCACGCAACTTAAGTACGTTGTATAAGCAAAACCCTATAGCAGAGAGGGCCTGAAAAAATTTTTCTGCGTGACGAAACATGCTTCATACGGCAAAGGTCGCCAAAACTGCTTCTAGACGTGACTAGAAGGTATTGAGTTATTTCAAAGTTCTACCCGTTTTTTGTTCCTCTTTTTGAACCGTTTCAGGGGGAAAAAATCACTCATCGCAAACATTTCTTAAATGGTTGAAAAGTTCTTTTCTTCTAGTTTTCAATGGACTTTTCAATTTTCCTAGTACTCGGTTCACACTGTGTATCGAAACCTTGAAAGAACAGCAAAGCGAACCTGAAAAATTTCCTCTATACTCTACTGGCGGAACTTCTGCAGTCATTACAGAAAATTTCTTTCAAAACATATGT